TAATATTTTCATTAGTCGAGTAGAAAAAAAAAAATATATATATATATATGTATATAGTAACTAACCTCAATTTAAAAACACTTTTGTATAGTTCCGCGAATATTCGTCTCGAAGAAAATCGTCTTCTTCCATTTCGTTAACGACGTTCGTAAGCAGGGAACCGTAAAAAGTAAATTAAATGAGAATTAAATACAAATAAAACCGCTCGGCCAAGTAATTGGTTGGACTGCTCCTCTCGTTGGCCATGAGTATCTCTCGGATCCTCATTCTGTCTCCGTTATTCTTTGTCTCTTCTTTTCCTTCCACAACTTTATCGTTATATTCTTCAATGTATATATATATATATATATATAAAACTTCCAACTTCCCCCCACGAAATAGTGTCAACCTTCTATACCGGAAATAAAGAGAAAATCAATCTGCTTCAATGGCAAGTAATCCTCAAAAAAAAAAATTCACTTTTTCAAAGAACCCAATTTCTCGGTCATAAGGAACGATTAGGTTGCGAAATGATGCACTCTTTTTAATCTAATATTACAAAATGTAACTTTAAAAAAATTTATTTTATCATTTTTATAATTTTTATCTGTTAGAATATAAAAATATTGCAATTGTTACCGTTATAATAAATTTATTTCTGTTTAAGGTTTAAAGCGAGGGGGAATTTACTAGTTAAAAACGTGTACACTTGACTACCAGTAATACACCTCATATTACCCTTATTACTAAGTATTACACGTTATTACAGAGTATTACACATTATTACAAAGATATTACAGACTTTTTTGCGTTATTACAGTACCGTAATAACGCATTATTACACGGTATTACACGATATTACACAAGTATTACAGGAAGAGTGTACACTTGACTACCTGAGTAAATTCCCCCTCGGTTTAAAGTTTATATTTGCGTTGTATTTTATTATTTTTGAGTTTTTTGTTTATTGTAATTTTCGTTAAATTAAAGTTTTCATTGATAGAAAGGTGTACTGTCTATTTTGACGCCGGAAGATCCTTCATGTCAATTTAACATTTATTATTATATACCTGTTCATTTATTACTATTAGTTATCTTCGCCTTTCTTAAGGCTAGGTACCCTATTGAAAATTCCTACAAAATTTCCCACGTGTGATCCTTTAAAACAAATCTATTAGAAATCCACATAAGATCCTTCGTAAGATCTTACGTGCGGGATGCATTTAAGGAAGCTCCCAGACAACATATACGATATTATTGTACGAATTTGGTTCAGGCAATGTTATAGGAAACTATATAGTTTTTTTATATACTTTCCTACGTAGGATCCTATACACACTGGAAAAAAAGTCTTACTCCGAACATGGTCTAATTTTTTATTTTGATTAGAAAGTAGCCCATAACTAATATTAATCACAAATAATGATCTAAAAATAAGCCGTTGAGGTCTTAACGAAAAACGAGATATTAATATGAAAAATATTTAGTTCTATTAGATTCAAAACAAGCCTTTGTGGTCTTGGCCTCAATACAAAGTTTTATTTGCTAGAAATGAAACGCTAAAAGTCTTCAATCAAGCCCATGAGATCTAGATACTATTGAGTTGTAACTATATACTATATACAACGAAAGTGCCCGAGTGTAAAGTGTCATGGACGCCTTTCCAAAAATGTGACGCGTCTACAGTTAATCGGAATACTAAAAGAATTAATTCAAAAGACTCACATCTTCATTCCTGTATAAAAAATTTAAAAACTATGTTTGTAAAACATTTTCATATCATGAATTGTTTGTGTCCTATAAATTCAGCTTTAATTGTTATGAATGTGAAAATAATGTTATATATACAACATAATTTTATTACAATTTTCTCACAAATATAAAAATGTATAAATTATATACAAAAATAAATTGGTCTCTTTATGATTTATATATATATATATATATATAAAGTATGATTTATGTCAATAAGATGTTGTTTGATGTTTCAAAACTTGTGTAAAATTTCAATAATATGGTATTGACAGGTTTCATAAAAGTTTAGGTTATGTTAGCTAATTTTTGTACCACGCAGTGACTTGATTTAAGCCCAGGTTCGGGCATAAATCAAAAAAAATTTGATTATTTCTTTTTATTTATGTCATTGTTGCCTTGCTTGTTTTTCGATTTCTAGTATTCTGGAGAAATATTTTAAAACAAATTTGAAGGGACTGTGGATTAAACCCAAGTTCGACGCGCGCTACCTAAAGACCCTATACACTAATCTAACCACCGACTACGGAGAAAAACAAAAATCTTCCTCATACTCTTTAAGTTGAAACTTTGGATTACAGAGTGTGAGGAAGATTTTTGTTTTCCTCCGCAGTCGGTGGTTAGATTATAGTGTATAAGGTTTTTAGCTAGCGCCCATCGAACTCGGGTTCAATCCCCAGTCCCTCCAAATTTATTTTAAAATATTTCTCCAGAATACTAGAAATCGAAAAACAAGCAATGTATGTTGTCTGGTAGCTTCCTTAAACGCATCCCACGTAAGATCTTACGAAGAATCTTATGAGGATTCCTAATAGATTCATTTTAAAGGATCACACGTGTGAAACTTTGTAGGAATTTTCAATAGGGTAGTGAAAGGATAGGACTAATTACGTTAGAAATAATATGGATAAGAGCAGTAATATTAAATTAGACAGTGAGATGAAAAGTTTGACCAGAGGAGCTCCTGAAGAAAGTGGAAGTGATAGGTTCAAGAGGAGACGGATTCTCACCAGTGTCAGCAATGTAAGTACAATATAATTTTCAATAACTTTAAATAATACGGTACAAGGTCCGTATATTTAAAGTGAAGGCGCGATCGTTGCCTTCTTATGATAAGGCAATCTGGGCCTTATTGATGGCGACTGGATTACTCCTGGTATTTGCCAGAAATTAAATAATTTAATTTAAATAATATTGTTTTCATTTTGTTATGTATGTACTTGCGTTTATATATATATATATATATATATAAGTGTATTAATAGTGTATATTAATTATTAAATAAAAAATTAACGATATTCAAAGTATAATTTCCTTTCATTAACCTTCCAGTCACATTTCTACCACTTGCTTTCAAATTTTCCGGTTATTAATAGCAACGATACTCACACACATCTTGCTATTTAACGCCACAAGTGTCCCAGATAGCACGTAAGCTTGCAGCAAGCTTGCCGCGCAATATTGCCAACCTTGTACAGGAAAATTGCCGCAAGCTTAGTGCAAGCTTCAAATTTCCCACCTGATCCAAGCTTGCATGGTAAGCTTACCGAAAGATTACAGTGTAAGGTTACTGCAAAGTTGCACAATGAAATTATCGCAAGATTTCTCAGTAAGCTTGCACTAACCTTGCTACACGCTTACCGTGCAAGATTACTGAGCAATCTTACGCTAATCTTTTTGTGCAATCTTGTAGTAACCTTACACTGCAATCTTTCGGAAAGCTTACCATGCAAGCTTGGGTCAAGTGTGCTATTTAAAGCTTGCAGTAATCTTGTGGCAAGTTTGCACTGCAATCTTGCACGGCAAGCTTACGTGTTATCTGGATTATAAAGTAATTTGTGTTATAATTATATGCATTAATCAATATTGTCCTTTTTACTCATATATAAAATATAATCCATTTCCTCCATCGTAACCATGTTAAATTCTAACATTATCAATTACATTTCAGGAGAATTTTAAAATAAAAATTTTAAACACAAAAACAAACTATAAAATAAGAGTATATATATATATATATATATACAATAAACCTAAAGAGTGGTAATGTTCCCGTAGTTTAAAAAGAAAAGATCAATTTATGACTAGATAATGTTCTACCCTACACAATCATGATCGGATTAGTTGAACGCAAAAATAATGACGAAGGGTGGCAATGGGATTCAGGGTCAAACGGAGCAAAGATACCAGAGGAGACTATTTTCTGTACACTGATTCATAAAATTCGTACACATGAACATGATTCGGAGAATGTGTATTGTGAACACAAAACGCAGGGTGAAACGTAAATGATATTCTATGAGGAGCATATGCAGGAGAGATAGATCTCGAGGCTAGTCAGAATAGAGGGTATACATATAGGCAGCGGGGTACTGGTTTATTACAAACAAGGATTATGGGGGTAATGGGACACTCTGCCCCTTTTCCCATATACAGATGCACTGACTCATTTTTTTGAATACATATATATATATATATACTTTCTAGAATATATATCAAAAGATATCGAAAAACTATACCATACCTTTCTGTTATTCTAACACTTGGCTCCCTCTTCAGCATATCAGCTTACAACTAACGCAATATTATCTCCGGTACCAATTTGTCAACACGATCAGATAATCTTATTACATTATGACGCGTGTTCCATCTACTACACACCTACTACTGATAATTCAATCACTTGAGATTGCACAGTGATTTGAATCTTGATCCATGAGCAAATTATACTATATGCTAAAGCTCGGTATGTGCTATTAGAATACAAATAATAATAATCATTACAATTATAATAATATTATTTTTAGTAATAAAAATAATACATTTTGAAAAAAAATAATTTTTAATTTAAATATGCAGAGATTTGTTTGAAAAATTTTGTTTAATTTAACACAGTTTTTAAGATTTTAATATATGGAAAATATCTATATCAGTTTCATTTAAAAATATTATTTGTTTGAATGAAAATTATAATGTTTGATTTATAGGCTACTTCCACAATAGTTAAATCGCAACGGAATGATGACAATTTCCCCACTGGACAAAGGTATCATTCGCCATTTGTCGCATAATTTCTTGGCCAACTACCGCACCCTGATCTAATGAAACGGTTGGTTTCCATTGTCCCCATTCGCCAAAATCCCCACTCAACATTATTGTCATAATTCTCGTCAACTATCGCACCCTGCTCTAGTAAAAATTTATTAAATTTGAAAAATTAAAAGTTACTATAAAGTCACTAAATTTTTACTAGAGCAGGGTGCGGTAGTTGACGAAAATTATGACAATTGGCGAGTAGAGTCAATGGCGTTGAACCGATTTGGAGAGGATGTCTTTCGATACATTGAAAATAAATTATTTTTATTTATTTTTAACTGCCTTTATAACATTTAATTTATAACATGTACATATATGTAGTCACTAATAATTTTTCAATATTGCAGTTTATATCCCGATTTTTATTATTTCCTAATTAAAGGATAAAGGAATCTCAATAAATCTTTTTCAATACTTTTTTAAATATTAAAAACCAAAAAAAAAACTGTTAAATATTGTAATAAGTTCCATCAATTTTTCGACTATAGCCAGCATTGGTTTGATCCATATGAGGACCATCAATGGCTAATTTCAAACTACTAGGATGAATTCTGCGTACTTTGTCCCTTATTAAGCTCTCAGTTTCTTGTAGTTTAGATTCTTCTCCTGTGTGAATATTTTTAACTTTCTTATGGTGCTTTATTTCCTCCTGACCATTTACCTTTTTCAATGGATGTCCCAATGGTGGAGGTGGCTTTATGAACGTCTAAAATAATATACATATGACTTTTTATATACCAACTACGTTTTCGCAGAAAATATGTTAAATATAACCTTGAAAATTAAAATCAAAGGGAGAACATAATCTCAAATATTCGATCATCTAACTTTATAATTTTGCTCTGATTTGGCCTAAGAATTAAACCTATATTACAACCTTAAACTTTATTTAAACTTATTTAACTTTATTTATTTAGCAACAGCTTAGGGTTGGTTTCCATATTGTCCCCACTCGACAAAATCCTCACTCGTCATTTGTTATAATTCTCGTCAACTACCGCACCCTGATCTAGTAAAAGTTTATTAACTTTATTGTTAAAATTAAAAGTTAATAAATTTTCACTAGAGCATGGTGCGATAGTTGACAAGAATTATGATAAATGTCTAGTTGGGATTTTGGCGTGTGGGGAAAATGGAAACTAACCTTAACTATCTAAGTAGGGACGTCATGATAATGTATATGAGAGTGAGAGAAATAAGAACATTTTTTATTTTTCTCACTCTTATACGTTACCATGACGATACCCTACTTAGATAGCTGTTTTGTGACCGTACATTTTCAAAAAACGATTATAACCTCGAAATTTATATTCTATTAAAGGGCAAGTGAATATATCCTTATCAATAAATTAAAAAACCCAAGATTTAATAACTCTAATTTAGATTATGTTTCGGTGAATAGATAATTCTGGCATTTAAATATTCGAATCACATAAAATTCTGTTGAATAAAATTTCTATTAAATTAATATTTGATTAAATTAGAATTTTTTTTTAATGAAAAATGTGTAAAGAGAAATTCTGTAAAATAAAAATTCGATATATCTAAAAATTTTGTTGAGTAAAAATTCGTTTAAAAAGAAATTCTATGAAAACTAATGATTTTTACATATTTTTTAACGTGGAAATTTGTAATTTATATACAATCATCCACTATGCATTGAATAGAAGACGTTTATTGGTTACAAATTTGCACGTTGTAGCGCTGTTACCATAGTACACTCAGTTAAAAGTCAAAATGCCATTTCATATATGAGGCATTCTATTTCAACTCGTTCCACCTTCAAAAGACGATCGCTAGCAGAGCGTTTTTCAAGAGATTTTTATTATATAAAAAAGAAAATAATCTTATAATGTTATACACTATTTCGAAAGAGAATTTAATAATCTTTCGATTGGTCTTAACATTTTTTTAATTTTCTCACAATTTCATACAGAAATCTTGATTTGAAATATAAAACTCATGATATCTCAAAACACCCCCCCTTCAATTTTATTTTAATATATATGAAAATAAAGCTTAGTTTTTCTAGTTTCAAATTCCGTTTGGTTTATCATGGACATTTGTGAGGATTTTTGGATAACAGTGATTGAAAATATGTGTTTTTGAAAACTTTGACACCAAGTATGAAGTTGAATCCTAACCCGCATTCAACCTACGTCACACACGAATTTCATTGTTTTGAAAAAAAATCGCAACCTATAATAATATAAAAATTTTCTGTAAGGAGATTAATAATATCGTATTTATTTTAATAAAATGCTTTTAAGTGATTTTTAAGTTTAAATTTAAAATTACTCACCAAATTAATTTTTTAATATTAAATGCAATTATTATTGGAGGAAAATTTTAAATAAATACTTTTATTTTATGAAAAAAAAGATATTTTTTTGTAGGTTAAACGAAACATTTTTTATTTCAGCAAAAATTAAACACAGAAGAATTACAGTCCTTGAAAAAATACTAATTTTTAAATAACAAATTTTTTTCTTTATTTAGTTTTGAAAAATTTACTTTCCTCGGACGAAGAATATTTCTTTAAAAGCATTTGTGTTTCAGAAACAGGAATGAAGGTGTGATATTTTTGTGTTCCTGAAATTGTTTTAGATTCATTAAATCTTTTTTTAAGAACTCTTGCTTAAAAATCTCAGAAGTACAAAAAATTAGGAAAATTGTTCTCATATAGCAACAATTATTATCACGGTGCAAAAATTCGCAATATTGCGTACTAATATTACTTTTTATTTGTCTCTTATAAATAATAAAAATTATGCTAATGAAAGATAAAAGCTATTAGAAGATTAAATTTAAAATATTTAGAACACATTTATTCAAATTATTTATTTAAAGATAATTATTGTATAAATAAATAAATATTTCAAATAAATTATTGTACAGGTTGTGATTTTTTTCAAAACAATGAAATTCGTGTGTGACGTAGGTTGAATGCGGGTTAGGATTCAACTTCATACTTCGTGTCAAAGTTTTCAAAAACAGATATTTTGAATCACTGTTATCCAAAAATTCTCACAAATGTCCATGATAAACCAAACGGAGTTTGAAAGTAGAAAAACTAAGCTTTATTTTCATATATATTAAAATAAAATTGAAGGGGGGGTGTTTTGAGATATCATGAGTTTTATATTTCAAATCAAGATTTCTGTATGAAATTGTGAGAAAATTAAAAAAATGTTAAGACCAATCGAAAGATCATTAAATTCTCTTTCAAAATAGTGTATAACATTATAAGATTATTTTCTTTTTTATATAATAAAAATCTCTTGAAAAACGCTCTGCTAGCGATCGTCTTTTGAAGGTGGAACGAGTTGAAATAGAATGCCTCATATTCACAATGAACGCTTGGTTTCCGCATTAGGCTTAAGCAGAATGAAATCTCTAATTGTAAATCTTAAGTTTTTACATGAGAGAGAAAAGGACAAAAGATATTTCTATCCTTTTCTCTCTCATCTAAAATCTTAAAATTTACGATTAGAGATTTCATTCTGCTTAGGCCTATTGTCCCCACTCGCTATTTGTCATAATTCACGTCAACTACCGCAACCTGCTCTAGTAAAAAAATAAGTGGCTTTATTGTTAAAATTAAAAGTTACTATAAAGTTACTAAATTTTTACTAGAGCAGGGTGCGGTAGTTGAGAATTATGACAAATGTCGAAAGGGGATTTTTGCAAGTGGGCACAATGGAAACCAACCGAGCACAAAACACGCGAAACCAAGCATAAAAAAGTTATTGAATAATTATTATAATTCATTAATTAGTAAAAAAAAATAATAAATGAAATTTTCCATAAGTAATAAATAAAGAAAAATGTAATAAAATTATAAATACCTTAATTTCATTACGAAGAACACGCCATGTTTCTATTCCAAGAGATTCAGGTTGAATTCGAGTATACATTTTTGGAACAAATGTGTCTTTACAATGTTTGTAAACTGATGAAAGGGCATAATCAAGAGAGTCTGTGGGTACCTGTTTAAAAAAAAAAAATAAATAAAGAAAATTATCCTCACATTTGGCGAAAAAAATTCACTAAAACATATAGATAGTTTAATTAATTTATTTTTACATTAAATTTTTTGCAACAGTTGCACTTATATTTAATAAATTAACCTGTGGTCTAAATAAGCGATGATCCTTTCTAATACTGGTTAGGGTATGATGAGCAAAAAGTCGTTCATGAGGTTGTAATTTTTCTTGCCAGGTTTTGTCGTCTGTTGACACACTTTGCCCCAAATATGGTCCATCCAGTATCCAATTTCCTTCACGTGAAATATCAGGCACTGGATATGGATTACGAACCAACGTCACTTTCGTTGTCATCTTGTCATTTTCTTCTAAAACCACCAAAATATAAACACAATGAAAAAATAAATAATTTTACTCAAAATCTAAATTTATTAGTTTTTGTTATGTTACTAAAAAAAAAAAAATTTATAACATCATGAAAATTAATTTTTATCATAGTATAGAAAAATTTTATGTTTTCAATTTCATTTCTGACAGTGTTGTGAGTGAAGTTTGTAACTAAAAGAAAAATTATTTTAAGACAGGTTAAATTTTTTTTTTTTTTTTAAATGTATACTTATTATTTTTATTTTTTTATTTACACTAATTGTTTTTTGGTAGAATTCTTAAAACCCGAGTTTTCATTAGTCCGAAATTATGCAAATGACCGAACAAATAACAGATTTCGGCGCGAATTTTAAAATTAACCAATTAGAAATTATCAGGAAAAAATTGTGATTGATTAATTTTTAAATTCGCCGCGAAATCTATTATTTGTTCGGTCATTTGCAATTTCGGACAAATGGAAATTCGCCATTTCAAGAATTCTATCAAATAAAAATTCGTGTAAAATCGAACAAATGATGATTTGATCGGTAAAGAGCCTCGGCAAGCCCCATGCAAAAAATGCCCCTTTTTCGTACCTCGAATTTTGAAACTTTTTTTATGCCAAATGGTTACATATGATGACCCAATAATCCCTGCAAAATTTCAAGATGAGCATGTGCCCCCTTTCCGAAATACAGGGGGTCAAAGGGGGCCATGTCCAAAATTAGAATATGCAATATAATCGAATAATAATGTTAAAAAAAATCAGACCAAATGGTTCCCTTAAGATTTTCGTCTGCTGATTACGAATCTAAAGTCCGTTTTTAAAAAATCAAAATGGCGGTTCCAATATGGCGGACGACATTTTTAAAAATCGATCCAATTGACTTAAAACTTGTTACACGGGGGTTTTTGGGGTCTCTGATTACGAATATGATGTCCGTTTTTAAAAATTCAAAATGGCGGATCCAATATGGCGGACGACATTTTTAAAAATCGATCCAATTGACTTGAAAATCGTTACTCGGGGGTTTTTGGGGTCGCTGATTACGAATATGATGTCCGTTTTTAAAAATTCAAAATGTCGGATCTAATATAACGAATAAAGGCAAGATTTAAGGCTAAATTCAGCTCGCAAAAAAATAAAAAAAAAAAAAAATGTAAGCACAAAAAAATATATTTACTAATAAAAAATGGTTAGTGCTTTTTCAATGTTTGTCCACCTTTAGATTCGTAATCAGCGACCCCAAAACCCCCGAGTAACAAGTTTCAAGTCAATTGGATCGATTTTCAAAAATGTCGTCCGCCATATTAGATCCGACATTTTGAATTTGTGAAAACGGACATCATATTCGTAATCAGCGACCCCAAAAACCTCCGAGTAACGATTTTCAAGTCAATTGGATCGATTTTTAAAAATGTCGTCCGCCATATTGGATCCGCCATTTTGATTTTTTAAAAACGGACTTTAGATTCGTAATCAGCAGACGAAAATCTTTAGGGAACCATTTGGTCTGATTTTTTTTAATATTATTATTCGATTATATTGCATATTCTAATTTTGGACATGGCCCCCTTTGACCCCCTGCATTTCGGAAAGGGGGCACATGCTCATCTTGAAATTTTGCAGGGATTATTGGGTCATCATATGTAACCATTTGGCATAAAAAAAGTTTCAAAATTCGAGGTACGAAAAAGGGGCACTTTTTGCCGAGGCTCTTTAATTTCAAAATTATAGATTAAAATTCAAGAGCTATATAACTATATAATACGAACATAACCTCAACAATTCAAGATTTAAGGGAAGGTTGACGCGTGAATTTTAGTTATTTTTCATATTACCAGTCAAATAAGGTATGGTTATACATAAACTTTATGCGTATCTATATTATATAGTTTTAGATGCAGTTTAATCGTTTGAGAATAAGTTTGAACGTAAAATTAAGGGTATATAGTTGTGTCTCACGACACGTGCCGCCACGTGAACTGGTCGCTTTATACAAACAGCATTATGCATGCTCGTGCTGACATAAATTACTGTGGGTTTGATATTGGGCGTTGATATTGGCTACTGGGCGACCACCTCCTGAGCAAAACACGTTTAAATACGAGAAAGCAACGTTTACACCCTCACACACACGACTAAAAAAGAACAATGAATCACGAAAGTCTTTTCACGCCGTGTGATCACATTTATATATTCTACTTAAAATATATTAATCAATCTTGTCACATTATTCCATTAACCACGACGAAGCTTAAGAAATCACTGTTAATAAACCACAAGTCACATATCATTTATTTTTATACAGAATTAATATTATTTTCTTTTCAGTGTTCAATCAATTTTATTTATTTTTAATCACTGTCAAAATTCTCAAATTGAGATAATTATTTTGAGAATCTTAAAAAATTGACGATAAAATATCTTAAAAATTATTTTTTATTTTAATTAATGCGCGCGGAGAAAAATGGAAAAACGAATAAAGTAACTATTACTATACTTTAAAAGTAAAAAAAAACCTGAACTGTCCGCAGTTTCTGCGCAATTCTGTAGCAATTTTTATTCCAGAAATAGTAAAATTTACTATTTCCGGAATAATTTTTACTGTTTCAGGAGTAAATACTGTTTAAATTTTATTTCTATTTTACTTTTTCTGGAATAAAAATTGCCGCAGAAACTGCGGACAATTCAGGTTTTACTTTTAAAGTATATAGTAAAAGTTACGTTATTCGTTTTTACATTTTTCTCCGTGTGCATTCAAGTAACCTTGCACTGCAATCTATCGGTAAGCTTACCATGCGCAAGCTTGGGTCAGGTGAGACATTTTGCGCGGCAAGCTTGCCGCAAGATTGCTGCAAGCTTACGTGCTATTTGGGAATGATATTTTTGCACAAAAAAAAAATATCATGAAAACTATGATTCAAGACAAGTAGAATGAAATTAATTTTTTTTAAAAAAGGTCGAAAATGATAAATTCCCAAGAAGCACGTAATATAACCTCAATATCAAGGTAATATTACATGTATGATTCGTAATATAACGTTGTAATATTACAGTAATCTTACAGTGATCTTAAAATGTCCGCCTCAAGGTAATATTACCGGTAATGTTACTGTAATATTACGCGCTAATATTAAGGTAATATTAGAGTAATATTGCAGTAATATTATACCGCAATATTAAGGTAATATTACAAGAGAATATTACAGTAATATTATGGGAACATTTCTTTACGAAAAAAATTTACCCATCCAGGGAATCGAACCCCGAACTCAAAGCACACGTGTCCAGAGTTTTACCAACAAGCCAAATTGACTTATAATATATTTACGTTTTTTATGCTTTATGAATAACTCAAATCAGTCTGTAATATTACTGTAATATTACCGTTAATATTACAGTAATATTCCCGGTAATATTACCTTGAGGCGGACATTTTAAGATCACTGTAAGATTACTGTAATATTACAGCGTTATATTACGAATCTCACGTGTAATATTACCTTAATATTGAGGATATATTACGTGCTTCTTGGGTTGTTAATAACAACAAATTTTTATACTTTATTTAAGACCATATTGGGAAATTCCCATATGACCAAGTACGGGCAAATGTTTACTATTTACTGCTTTATTTTTTATCATTTTTGCATTAAAAATTCCTCTAAAATTATAACCCCAAATCTTCTTTCGCATTTTAGAAAAAGTTTAGAATTAATAATGTTTCAATTCAGATAAAATTGATTATTAATCTGTAAATTATTTCCGTTAATAGTTTTGTTTTTGTCTCTATCCTTTATAATATATAGATCTATTTTAATTCACACGAGAAATCTTATATTTTACGCTCTCTATAATCTTCCTTGTCGAAATATATATAACATATATTATAATTCCGTTGCTTTCAAGATATTTTTTTTTTAAATTTGTTTCAGAATTTATTCCACGATTTTGGAAAACACCCCAATATTTGATTTTGATGCGCAAAAAATAAAACGTCCACGAGGAGAAAAAGAAACTGAGTGTAAAAAAAGAAATGACAGAAAGATGGAAAAGGTTGAGCATATATATATATATTTTTTTTTCCCATTGGCAGATGGGCGCATTACTTGACAGGGGTTTGGAGATACAGAAGGGTGAGTTTTAGGTCTTCCACGTCATTGCTCGTGTGCACAGTACCATTCGTGAATGGTTTCATAAGAGGAAGAGATAGAGAGAGAGAGAGAGGGAGGGGGAAAGATATGTGCCCCCAACCTCGATTCTAGATGACACGCGTAATCGCGTAATCGCGTAATCGTGACGCGTGCTGAAGTTTAGATCGAGGGAGCTTTACGTTCGTCTACATCGGGCACGTGTAATGTTGCACACTCTGAATCAACATTGATCACAGGTCACAGAGACCCATGCGAGTCTTTTTACGTATATATACTATATATATATATATACATTGCGAATGTCACTTCACATGCCGCATCCCTCGAGATTTTTTGTAAACACTTAAGGTTTTCACTTGAAAAGTTCAACATGTTTTATAAATTCCATTGTTATATACATACAAGGCATATTCTTTGAAAAATAAAAATTTGCATCCCCCAAACAAAAATTCTGAGATTGGCTTGATAATTAGGTAAATTGCTTCTATATGAAAGTAAAAAAAATCTCAAAATATAAACTTATTTTTTAGAATACTTTAATTTGAAATATAGGAATCCAGCAATAATGCGGCTGTAAAATGTTATAAATTATGAAACTTGTTTTCTTTTGATACTCACTTCATTTTGTTTAAATAATAATATCACGTATTAACAAACAAACTTGCCAAAGTCGTCAGATTAATAGTCGATAAATAAAATCAATTCTGATTTGTCCTTTCGTTCTGTTATGAAAACTCTCGCGAGGCATTGAGGATTCTCGCTGGGTCATAAAGACGTTGAGGATATCACTGTACCCCCACAGCAGCCAATCTTTACTAAAAATTTCGTAAAGATTTCCTTGAAATCTTGGGAATATTTAATTGAAAAGTTTAATGAAAATTGCATAAAGATTTAAATGTCCCACCAAAATAAATATTTGGCGTAAAAGTTGCCTAAAAATTTAAATGAAATTTTCAGGAAATGTTCGTCGCGAAAATTGAGTAAAAATTTAAATGAAATTTTTATGAAATGTTTGTCGCAAAAATTGAGTAAAAGTTTCAATGAAATTTTCGGGAAATGTTCGTCGCGAAAATTGAGTAAAGATTTAAATGAAATTTTCAGGAAATGTTTGTCGCAAAAATTGAAATGAAATTTTCAGGAAAAGTTGGACGGAAATATCTGTAAAAAATACAAAAATAATATTAATAATAATAATAATAATAAATAGATAGATAGATCTTTATTATTATTATCAATAAAAAAAATTTACTATCCGGGAATAAAAATAAAATAAATAATATACAAACATTGTTGCTCTGCTTTAATGCTTTGTTTCCCATTGAATCAAGCACTGCATACTTGATTGAGCAAGAACTTTTGAAAACAAATTTTGGGGTGCTGGGGATTGAACCTACGTTCGCCGCGCGCTAGCTAAAGACCCTAACCACTGCACTACAGATATCTGGCAGAAAAAAAAAATCTTCCACAGGCTCTACAACTTGCTGATAGACAATTAATCCTACTTATCGACCTAAAAGGGCGGGCCTATTTGAATACGCTTTTTCACGGAGATATTTGAATATTCTGAATATTCACATTGCAGGTGAATATAAAAATTAAAAGTGTATCGAAATAATGCTGTAAAACCATGACTGCAGGTCATGTGAAAAGGTTATAATAAAATTAATTATTTTTTTAAATATTATCTATTAATTAAAAATTCACAAATTTGCGAAAATTAATTTAAAATTTTTTTATTTATTAATAAACAATTATATTAGTATTGTTAACAGACGAGAAAAAACGTTTTAAAAATAATTAAGAAAATAATTTCAATATATTAAAATAAGAAATGAAAGTGAACACAAAAATTCTATTTTTTAAACATTTAAATCAAAATTATTATTCAAAAATTATTTATTATAATTAAAAATGTATTAATTAATGAAAAATTAATTTTTAAATATTTTATTTTTTGTAAAAGATTGTGGCCTTTACAAAATGGTTTTTAAAGTTGAAATAAATTTTTTTAAAAGTTAATATTTCGATTCGAAATAAAATTGACTAAATAGACAGAAAAAAATGCTTGTAATATATTTATTTGTGACAATTTGTAAAATTTAATTATTTTCAAAATGTTGAATTACAATTCTTTAAAAATTCGTTTTTTTTAAATTTTACTAAAATTAATTAAAATATATTAAAATATATTTTAAAAATATATTTAAAATATATTTAATATATTCAAGAACACCAGAAAGACGAAATTGCTGTATTGTTGACGATAGTGTAGGGATCTTCGTTACCGACGACTGCGTATCGATTATATTGGTCGCAGATATTATATTAATTAATATTAAATAAACTCAATCCCTAGAAAAAAATTACACGTGTAGATTTCGCTACATGTAATTACACGTGTAATTTGTACTTTAAATTTGAAAGTTATTTTTTATTTTAGAAAATTACACGTGTAATTTATACTTTAAATTTGTAGCTTATTTTTCAGAATATTCCACCTATAATTACACGTGTAATTTATACTTTGATATTTCTCGAATATTTTTTAAACTTTTACACGTATAATTACGTGTAATTTATACTTTGACCTTTCGAAAATATTATATAAATTTCTACACGTGTAATTTTTACTTTGATACTTCTCGAATATTTTTTTAACTTTTACACGTGTACCAAAAATCATGAAATTTCAAAAATGTTTCAGGCTGCATCTACAATAGATTAAAAAATTTGTAACGATCGTGTAGTGTAAAGTGTAGTGTATCTTGTATGACTTAGAATATTGCAAATTAACTGTTGTTAATAAACAAAAACATAACCTCAAATCCAGATTTTTAATATTAATTTAATTAATTTAGTCATTAATTTTAATTTTTAATATTAAAAATCTGAATTTGAGGTTATGTTTTTGTTTATTAACCGCAATTAATTTTAATATTCTAAATACAAGAAACACGACTTTACACTACACTATACACTACACGATCGTTACACATTTTTTAATCTATTGTAGACGCAGCCTAGACGCAGCCTCAAAGTATAAATTACACGTGTAATTACACGTGTAATTTTCTGAAAATTAACATTCAAATTTAAAGTACAAATTACACTTGTAATTACATGTAGCCAAATCTACACGTGTAATTTTTTTCTAGGGATGACACCGAGAAGAGAGGCCGCTGTTTAGCGACGCTTTCAAGTTTGACTATATCGTCAGACATTTTACTCTGATTCTCATCCTGGTGTTCGTTGAGTCAAGTTGTGTTCTATTCTTTTTTGTGTAAAATAATTAAAATTGAAAATTATAAAAATTAGACGATGCGTCATCGTCAAATGGACGGTGAGTCTCAATAAATTAATTAGGAGTATACTTGAATAAATAAAATATAAATCTTGTCTTTCAGCCTTCTGACATTATTTAACTTTTTCTAAAATTTGAAGTGAATATTAATAAATAGTGTTATTCTTATAAATTTTGTATTATTAATGGTGTTTACCCTTATCCCCCCCTCTCACTCTCTGCGGTCTATTGTTGCTATAAAACGTAACAATATAATTCCTGAGCTGGTTATAGTTTTTTCTAATTAGAATTATAAAATTTACTTGTCGGGTTATTTAACTTTTTTTTTTTTGGTTTAGCCATAAAATAACTTGGCGTCTTGCAGGTTTGCGTATGAAAAATACCTCAAATAAATAAAATAGAGCTTTTTTTTATGTATATTATATATAAAATTTTTCAGTTTTACTGAATTACCTTGACAGTTATCGACAGACATGAAGTAGTAAATAATAAAATTTTTGATACTAAAAATAATAGATAGTAACATATGCCTTTTTTTAGATATATATTTTTACATTTTTGTTGATTGTTTTCAAAGTTATATTTAACTACTCGAAAATTAAAAAAAAATGAATATTTTCCTAAAATTTATATTTATTAAAAAAATAATTCTTCTCTGATCACATTTAAACTCAGGGCATTTGTAGCACTCATAGATGTTAATTTTTGGTAAAAATATTTATTTATTTAGTCTAATATTTTCCGTGGGGGAGTGGGTGATAGTTTTAGGGGTTTACGGTACACCGTTTATTTTAATAATTTTATTTTTCATAAATATCAAAATAAAATTATTTATTAATATCAGTTTTGAAAGCTTTTTTGATGCTCTTTCAATTAGCAATATGCATTTTAAAAAAAGAAAAAATTTTTGATCAATAAAAATGAAACTCAAAAATAAATTAAAATTTTTCGGGGTGTAAGTACGATTTTTTTTATTATCGAAAGCTAAGGTTTATTATGTAATTAAGAAAGTGAGACAAGAATGTTGGAATATTGATATTTAACTTTTTTCTTGCCTCCTTTTGATAATTTTTTACTATTTTTCAATAGTTAAACATACTTGTTCCATTTTTTTAGGAAAAAAACCTCAGCTTTTGATTTGAAAATATCGTACCTTTTACCCCGAAATAGTAAAATTTATTTTTGAGTTTCATTTTTTTCTTTTTTGGTCAAAAATTTATTTTTTTCAAAAATACATATTGCCAATCAAAAGAGCATTAAAAAAAGTTTTTAAAACTGATATTAATAAAAAAAAATTATTTTAATATTTAAGAGAAAATAAAAATGATTACAAGAAAAAAACCATTTTTTCCTCTTTGATCACTTCACGTGAAATCCCCCATATAAATGATGGAAATAAAAAGTTATCTATATTAATAAAATCAGACTTTTGTCTGTACATTGCTCCAAATTAATTTTTTCTTGCATAGTTTATCATTTTAAGTAGTAAAGATAACAAATATGCCATAAATAAAAATTCTGTCTGTCTGTCTGTCTATCTGTCTGTCTGTCTGTCGTCAATATTTTGTACCGGCACAACTTTAAAACGGCTCAACCGATTGAGGTGAAACTTGGCAGTGTATTCAGTCTTAACGTAACTTAAAATCTTAGCCATATTTGATTAAAAAATATTAACATGAACGAAAGTTATGACATTTTTTCAAAAAATTTTAAAAAATCAAAAAAATGCAAATTTTTTATTTTTTGTCAGATTGATTTGAAACTATTTGTACCTATTTTTTTCACATAAATACAATCAATTTTTTTATTAAATTAAGTAAATAGTCTGAATTTAAAAGTCTAAATCAAATTTTTGAATTTCCAATTTTTTTAATAACATTGTAATATAAGAATTCGTTATGTTCAACTTTTTATAAGTAAAACAATAATGTTTTTAGTCTGTTGGGTATTAAACGCAATCTTAGCTGCACACCAATGAAAAATATTAATTTAAACAAAAATATGACACTTTCAAAAAATTTAAAAAATTTAACATTTTTTATTTTTTGATAATTCTTTACTAAACGTTCTTTATTTAAAATTTTGTGACCAATTAAGTATGCTTTTAACAAGAAATTTTAAGAATTTTAATTTAAGAATTTTATCAGAATTTTAAAATTAATAATTGCAAATCTGAATATGAAATCAGATATTGTAAAAATAAAAAATCGAAAATTACTTTTTTACTCTTTGAAATTAACAATTATTATATTTAAATTATTATTATTATTATTGAATATTATTATTATTATTATTATTATTATAGATACAAATTATTTTTAAATATAATAAAACTAAATAAACTAAATAAACTTAAATATAATATAATAAATATAATAAAATAAAATTATTTTCATAATTACATCCAACTATACGTGGTCTCCTGTATTAAAATATCTTTTTATAAATTTTTAATTATTATTTATTCAATTCAATTTAATTTTTTCACTGCTTTTAATAAAATTAAAATAATTTAAAATTGTATTTAATTTTATAGTATTGAAAATAAAAATTATTTTAATCAATACAATTTAAATTAAAATTTTAAAAAACTTTAAAAATTATTTGAAGAATAAATTTTTAATAGAAAAATTTCTTTTAAAAATTTATTCTTCAAATAATTGGAAATGGAAATAATTGGATGGAAATAAAAAGTTATTTACAATAAAATTGAAAATTTTAAATTTTAACCCGCGTGGAAATGAAACTATGGGTAAAATCATAAAAACCATGGGCAAAATCGATTGCCAAGGAAATAACGATTAGACCCATGGTTTAAACCTTGGCAAAAGTCTCAAAAACCATTGCTTATGTCCGTTTCCCATGGTACAATTTCCCATAGGAATTTTTTTTTTAATTTTACGGATTTTTAACTATTGCTAAAATCTTGGAAACCATGGGAAAATTAATTTTTTAATTTTACTAATTTTGAGCCATTGATAAAATCTTGGAAACCATGGGAAAATTTTTTTTTATTTTACGGATTTTGGACCATGGCTAAAAACTTGCAAACCATGGGAAAATATTTTTTAATTTTACGGATTTTGGACCATGGCTAAAAACTTGCGAACCATGGGAAAATTATTTTGTTTAATTTATAGATTTTTGACCATTGCAAAAATCATGCGAAATATGAAAAATTAATTTTAAAAAATTCCCAATGCTTTGCAAGTTTTTAACCATGCTCCAAAATCCGTAAAATAGAAAAAAAATTTCCTATATGGTTCGCAAGATTTTAGCAATGTTTTAAAATAAAAAAAATTATAAAACTTTTTCCCATGGTTTTCAAGATTTTAGCAATGGTTTAAAAACCGCAAATTAAAAAAAAAAATTCCCATGGTTCGAATGATTTTAGCAATGGTCAAAAAACCGTAAATTAAGAAAAATAATTTTCCCATGGTTCACAAGATTTTAGCAATGGTCCAAAATGAGTAAAATTAAAAAAAATTTTCCAAGGTTTCCAAGATTTCAGCAATGGTTAAAAATCCGTAAAATTAAAAAAAAAAAAATTTCCCATGGAAAATTGTACCATGGGAAACGGACATGAGCAATGATTTTTAAGATTTTTGCCAAGGTTTAAACCATGGGTCTAATCGTATTTACCTTGGCAATCGATTTCGCTTATGGTTTTTATGATTTTACCCATGGTTCCATTTCTACGCAGGAATGTTTTTTCAACAACTTAATTTCAGAGTACCACGACTAAATTCTAGAAACTTTCAACCTTTTACGAATAAACTCCCTGAAGGCTCCTATAGGGTATCATGCTCCCGTGTTCAATCTAACACAAACCGTTAATTCTATTTTTTTGATTACTAATGAAATTGATCTCTTTAGCTCATCTTCGGCCAAAGTATAAATAATATTTTAAAAGACGTTTTTCTTTCAATTAGAAATTAATAATTTTTTCGAACAAGTAGCACAGTCTGGGTCGCTGTGACCCTCTGTTTACTTTACAAAACTCCCCCATTTTTGAACTATTGGACTGATCAACACAAAAAAAATATTTTTTTATTCATTGAACCTTGTAAAATAAGAATATGCAGTTTAGAAATATTATTAAATTATTTGCATATTGAAAAAAAATTCGTGAAGTTAACTAATTAAAAAGAAAAAATTGAATTTAAAAAAAAAATGTAACTTTTGTAATTTTTAATATTTTAAGCTAAAAATTGGGACTTATATTCTCGAAGTGTGTTAGAATAAGGGAAAAAATACCACCTTATTTTATTTTTTAAAAAAGGTATTTATTTTGTAGTTTAACGAAGGTTACTTTTAAGACGATAAAAATGTGATTTTCGACACAACTTTTTAAAACTATACTTTTTTAATAACATATTTACTAGTATTTTATTATTTTCTTTGGATTATCATGTTACTTATTATTCCTTATTAGTTAGTTACCACTATATGGCCTTAGGTTCGTGTTGTATTGCCGACTTTTCAAATTACACTTCATTGAAATTAATGACAGGGTCTGTGTGACCCAGTATGTGTTCCGAGGGTTAAATTTGAAAATCTTTGTTGGAGTGTCTTGTTGTAATATATATCATAAAAAATGTCATTTGCCACAGAATTAATGTTTTTTTTTAGCGAACACACGAATCTCAAGGGTGCCAATAACTTAAACAGTATGGCCATCTCACCTCGAAAAAACATGGCCATCTCTCCTAATGTCTGGAGACAAATTGACACAACTAAAATATAAATAAATAAATAAAATTTTTGAATAAATATATATTTATGACAAAGCTTGGGTCATGTACTTTACAGAAAAAAATAAAATTTTAAATTATTCTATAAAATAACATAACACCAGTGAGAAAAGTAAACACATCACTTTTTTTCAGAACTAGTCAAAATAACAAATCAATTTTTTTACTTACTTCTTCAATATTTTTCGTAAAGTTTTTTCTTTTAATTGTGTTTTGCCATAAAATAAAGCGAACTAATCTTTAATAAGCGATACCTAGCAGCAAATTCTATAAAATATATTTGAATTGGCCATCTCTCCCGCATGGCCAACTCCCCCGGACTTACCCTATATATATTATATTCTTACAAAAGAATAAATTTCTTTAGAAAAATAGAATTTTTTTTTTATTACGTCACGGTATTTTATTCTTTGCAATAACTATTTTCAATATTTACCCTTGATCGTTGTAATATTTATATATAAACATAACTTTTTTTTTGAGGGGTGAAAAAAATGAGCTTTTCAGTATATATTCGAGTGGAAATATGAAAATAGTTGGAAAGTATTGAAACCTATTACACTCGAGAAGGTAAACTTCTGCTCTTTCTTCTATTTTCAACCCTAATCCTTCGTTATATGTATATATATAAATATATCCTTAGATGGTGTCGGTATTGGAATTGGGGTCGCGCATTCAAATGGACAAAGTTCCCACTATAACAGTAGCATCCAAAAGAAAGAGGATGAGGCAGGTCCTGGGGACAATGACGGGTTTGATATTGCCAATATTTGGTTTGATTCTCCCGTGAAA